TTCCTGCTGTTCTTGTTGAGCCACAGCAGTAACTAGGCAAACAGTGTCGTGTTTAGTTATGTTGTTAAGAAAACCATGAGCTCCATGTGTGATTGCAGGCTGTTGACTGTCAGTTATTAGGTGAATCTGATTGTGACTTGACTTTCAAACTGGTCATTTGAAAGCTTCCAGTTGCCTGTTCCCCATATGATGCGTGATCCATGCAACATGGATGCATGATCTGGGAAAATGCTTGGTGCTATTTTATACACATTCATGAGGTTTTAGAAGCATTCTGATGATAGCAAAATTATTCAGGAATTGCTTCTACTCAGCAATTATTAGAGCAAGTAGATCCTTTGGATTCCAAGGTAGGAGAGTAGTATTAAATTAGTATTAAAGTAGTATTGATGTGCTGAAAGAAATTATTTATTTTCTGTGATTCAGTGGCAATGTATTGATTTTTTTTTTTGTTCATGATCTGTTATTTCTTTAGTTAGAAACCCCACATTTTAGTCTTTAAAAAACTAATGAAAGAATCCAGCTATTAAACTTCCAACATGCTTTTATGCAAGGACTGATTGAGTTTGTACTTAGCCAGTTTTGTTGTGGAGGGAAGGCCACTGCGTCCCTCAGCCCTTGCTGTAATGACTTGAGGAGGTAGCTTGAAAGGCTACTGAAAAGCAGTTATTGAAACTGAGGGTGTAAGTCTCTATCATGGGAGGTTTTTCACTTTTTCCAGTGGTTAACTTAATACTACAGAGGAATGCTGTTTGAATGTTAAACATTAAAGGCCTTTGCAGTGTGTGTGCGGCTTCTTTTTGTCGTTCTAGTCTATCAGGTTTTGCTGTGTTTTCCTTAATGGCGCAATGACAGATAACTGGCTTGGCAATGGACATGCAGGTAAGTGCAATGCAGTTTCTTAAATAATCTTACGGAGCTTTCTGACTACTGAATGACTTTTATAGAGAGCATTATCAATGTAACTGCAGAACATAGTGAAGCTCGGCTGGTTTAGTTTATATCAAAATGGACTGCTGTGTGCATGGTGTTAGGTTTTTTTGGAGTAAGCCTCAGCTAGTGTCACAAGCTTGCATCTGACTCTGCCACTCCTAACAGAGTAAGGGAGTCAAGGAGTGAAAACTGGCTCTTGGTGCAGTCGGGAGGTGTTCAGCCTTTTGCTAAAATGGACACAAGATGTCACCTATGCACTGTTTCTTCTAATGAACGTGGATCTGCATTCTTACTTTTTTATCTAAAAATGATTTTTGGGTTCATTAGTCTCCTCAAATTCAGTGTGCCTTTTACTTGCCAACAGAAGATTTTTTTTTTTGGTGAAAAATGCAGATTCAGATCAGAACTGTGAAGTGTAAAAATCCTCACAAGAATGACTAAAACAGTGGTCTAAAGAGCCAGTTTCAGTGAAGTAGTTCCTATCCCTCCAAATATTAAGGGAGGAAATAGGGGAGCATTTCTTGGACACAGCAGAGTATCAGATAACTCTGTCTTCAGCCTGCTTGTGCTCTTCTCATCTTATTCTGTCCTCATCACCCAAAACCTGCACCAATATCTCTAATATTATGTACAATATTATCTTAGCATTTGTTAGATCACTTATCAGGCTCCCCGAACAGACAAAAATAGTGATCACTCATCTGTAGTCAAGAGTGAGCTCTGTTAAGGGCTCTCCATAACTTCACACTTCCATTTCATTTTGCTGTGGGGAAGATGCCACAAAATTCTTCAAAAGCATGCTGAAGTCACCTATACATTGTATGAATTTTAGACTGATTATGGTGATTTCTGTTTTTTAAAAAAAGGTACTTAAAATGGTTTTATAAGTGCATACAAAGTATTGCTTAAGAGAGAATCAGCTGTTTGATGTACAGATTTATTTTTCTTAAAAATAAGGGTTTTTTTTGCTTGTGTAGAATGGCTTGCTTGAAAGTGAGAAGACAGAGTAGGATAGCTGGGCCTTCTATTCCTATGTCAAATACTTTCAGAAATAAGATACTACTTTGTTTTTCCAATAAAACAAAATAAAAATGCTTTTAATAAAGATCCCAAGGTGCTTATGTGACAAGTCAGACTGCTGGTGCACTGTAGGACTTGGGGAAGGCTGCACTGTGCCAGCTTTAATGTGAAACCTGTTAAATACCAGCACCCATGAAGGGATGAGTTTTAACCTTTCTTCCAAACACATCAACAGGTTTGTAGCATTAAAGCAGTTTGTGGAAATGTGGCACAGTCCATCTTCAGTTTAGAAATCAGCAGATAGCTATAGTTTCACTAGTATTCACTAATCAGCTAATACACAGTCAGAGTAAGGAGGTATTTGAAACAGACTGATCTCCTGGCATGGGCTTTCTCTTGGTGCAAGTTGATTTGGCATGGGCTTGCGAAGAAGAATGACCAAGGAGATTCTCCTGTTTAGCTTTCTCAGTAGCTTTTGAGCAGATCCATGATACATGGTGCCAAAGATTCTGGGGCAAGCTGCAAAGATTTTGCTGATTTTTATCATGATTTTGTCATGCTTACAAGCCATTTTGAAAGTTATAGCTCCTGGTGCCTGTTTAAGTTTCTTGGGCTTTTGTGAAAGTGATGGTGTCTTTTGACTTTTTTTCTTTTTAAACATTGTAGTTGCTGATGATTCCACTCATCATGTCAGTTCTTTATGTGTGGGCCCAGCTGAACAGAGACATGATTGTATCATTTTGGTTTGGAACAAGATTTAAGGTATGTCAGACAGGATACTGGAAACATTTCTGCCCGGAATACGCACGTGAAGGGGGTGGGGGGCAAAATATAAGTATTTAATCTTATTAAAGATGTTCTGCGCTTTCACATAGCTATGTACTCCTTGAGATGCAACAAAGACAGATTTCTTCATGGTGTTCCATATGGTGTCATTCAGTGTAGCTTTACTGAAAAGATGTCCTGACAACTGAAATTCATTGATTTGAAAAGAGGAAAAAAATTCCTGATAAACATTAACCTGGGTAAAAGCTGAATGTAGTGACACTGTAGTGACAAAATGTTGATGTTTTAAATTGTTCTTTCTTCTGCAACATCATCTGTTTCTGCCAGATCTTCTAGTGAAAACTCTTGATCATTGTTTCCAGACCTTTCCAAAATCAGAAATGTTAGGACTTTGTTTCAGATGTAAGCTTCCTGTGGAACACAGAGTGAAAAAGATGCACCTAATTAAATGTTTAAATGAGTGTGATATGTCTGAAAACGTTAGCGGTCGCTCAGTTTGGAGTACCCTACTTTGTTAGGTAGAATCTGCTTCAGTTAATATATCAGGAGTTGTGGAATGGCGAAAACACTGAGATTATAATCATGCTTATTAATGCAGTGTGAAGTTGAGCAGGTTTATGTCCTTAACTTGTATTTACAACTTCTTTGTCTCCATTGCATTCTTTTTCAGGCCTGTTACCTCCCATGGGTTATTCTGGGATTCAACTACATCATTGGTGGATCGTACGTATTTACTTACACGGCAAACTGGAAGTTATAAAAGCTTTTACGGCTATTGAACTTACTGCTGAATTCAGAAGCAGTATTAAAATAGGAGACTTAAAGCTGTATAATCTGACTGATAATGCTCAGTCTCATGATGGTTATTTAAGATAAAAGTGAAGACGAGATGTGCATGTGAGAACTAGAGAATGTAGGTGAGGGGAAAGTAATATGAACTTGGTTTATTTTCTAGTAAATCTATGTATTAGGCCTTTTCCTTACTAAAGGAGTAATGCACAGTGAAGAAAGTTGTAATCTCGTATGATCACCCATCATGACTGGTTTCATCATCAAATTTAGCTTGACTCTGATAGTGTTGTTACATCTTTCCCTCACACTCTCATCCAACATAATGGTTTTTCAGCTTGTGAAACAAGGGGAAGTGGCAATAACAAGCCCACAGAGTGCCATGTTAGCGCTTGCTGAATTTGTTGGTCTGTCTTGCATTCTTTGACTAAACTCTGTGATGCAGAAATCCCCTCCCTGCAGTCTTTCCCATTGGTGCCTTGTGTTTACTGGGGCCTCTTGGTGCCGCTGTAACACAATTAATGACAATAACAAGTTAAGTGGTTGATTTATAAAAGGAGGAGACAGTGCAGGAAAACCAAATTCCCTTTTCTGTCTGTGCCTCCTACTGACTCATCTGTCACTTGACAAAACGGCTTGCTGTTAGATACCTGCTGTTTCTATGCATGATGGAAGATACTCAAGGGCTTCCATTCAGCAGTGTTTTTGCAAACAGCAGGAGACAGGTTGTCCGGTGAAAACAGCAGTAACTCCTCAGGCTCTGCAGACTATTATTTTAGACACTAATAGCTGTACGGTCTAATTCCCTGATGTAAACAAGTATTTAATTGTATTTTCAGTACAGACTGTAGAAAAGCTTGAAAGGGAGGGTGGAACAGCCTGTTGATGTGTTGGCATCGAAGGCTGCTCGTTCTAAAGAAGTGCCTGCAAAATGCTGAGGGAAGGGGAATTTTCTGTAGTTCATGGCCCTGGCAATGCCCATGGCAGGTGAACAGTAGTACCTGGCAGAAGATGGTCACTTGTTTAGTTTCAGAGAAGACAGCATGTAAAACAGTTTTTTTTTTCTTTTGCCTTGCAGAGTCATCAATGAGCTGATAGGAAATCTGGTTGGACACCTGTATTTCTTCTTAATGTTTAAATATCCAATGGATTTGGGAGGAAGGAATTTTCTGTCCACGCCTCAGTTCCTGTAAGCTGGCTTTATTCTTTAGCTCACTGTTTGCTTGGTTCAGTTTTCTGCATTGTTCATCAGACATATTTTTGCTGGGACTGTAAGATGTAAAATATTTTGCCAGATCTACCTGCTTCAGGCTATCATATTGACTGTGCTGCTGAGTCATCATAAACGTTGAGTTTCTTGTAAATGGCCCATGTTGAGAGTTTTGTTACCCTTAAGGATGGCTTTGTCCTTTACCCACTCTTAACAGTGAAAATAAAAGTCATAGTTCTGCCAGTGAATTGAGCTGTAGTAAAGCAAACTCCCTAATGATTATCAGACAGTATTGAAAAAATGTTTTCTATTGTAAATTGTATTTTGTTGGTATTTCCATGTATCGTGGCAGTAGCTACCAATTCAGCAACCTGTAACAGTGATAGGAGTCAGTTGCAGACTTGTTCAGAACATTAATCTGTATTCTGCTTTGCAATTGGTACCAGTCACCTCGACTGAGACTGTGGGTCTTGGTGTCTGAAGTGCTTTGCTTTTTCTTGTGATCTTTGTTGTTTTGATGATTAGAAGCCAAAGTTTGTAGCTTCAGTTGTCCTTGTCCTCATCCTTTTGGGTTGTAAATATTCTTTCTCTACCAAACTTTAGTTAGCAACTCAGTTAACTCTTTTTATAGCATAAACTGTTAATTATAAGATGCAAAGTTGAATTACAGTTCTACTTTCTGTACGAGTTCTAATGAGTAAGGAAGCTTTATATTCTACTTTTGTGTTTGTAAACCCTTCTGGTAAACCTGATTTTACATAAATATTAGAAGACAAAATTTTGTTTTAAAATACCCTTCCAGGTCATAACAGCTCTAAAACTGCCATCAGTCTTGTGGTCATGTGCAATTCTCTTGATTCCTCATATGTGTATTTATATTTTCTCTGTGTTTGAGAAGCAGAAACGAAAGTACTGCAAACATCACTAAAACGGGATAAATTCTGCCTTTGCACTGTAATGTTTTGTTAAAAAAGGTGCTGTGATGAACTACAGTTGTCTTTAATATAATAATGAAAACCTTTTTTCTATACAGGATCATTTTTCTTTTGGAAAGGAATATGGTTTTTATGTCTGGGCCTCAGCAGGGGATTTGCAGGAGCTCAGTGTAACTACTGAAGAGCTGAAATGACTTGACTTTGATAGCATCCCTTGCAAAATGCAGAAGCTGTATTTTCGATCACTCTGTCTGTTTAGATGGTATCCTAAGTTGGATGATAAGGTCTTAGAGCTCTTGCTCTTTACTTGAGCTTTGATTTCAGACAAGGTGGTTTCTTGAGATGGTTTCCTTTAGTCTCTTTGGTCCTCAGTTCCTCAGGACTGTTTACTTGGGAGAGCAGTGAGATGGTTGGATGCTGTGATAAAAGGAGCTTTGTAACTATTGAAGAGACAGAGATGCTCAGAAGTGATTTGGATTTTTTAATTATTATTTCTCCAGAAAGAAAAGGGAGATAATTTAGGGGAATTAAGTTTGTATTACAGCATTTAGTCTCAACATTGAGACTTCCTTATCGTGTTTTTTCCCTATGTTTGGATTATTGTATATAACCTTATCTCAGAGATGGAAGTTCCCCACAATTCCTGTTTCTCAATATGCTGAGCACTTAAATTTGGAAATAACTCTGCAAAGCACTGCTGTGAAAAGCCAGCTTTATTGAGAAGTCTAGCAGCTCAAAGGAAGTGCATGGAAAAGTAGTCTGACATTTACCCCTGAGGTACAGCTGTTTATCAACCTCTGTCCTTCTCTCCTGGCTTGTCCTAGGTACCGCTGGCTGCCAAACAGGCGAGGAGGAGTGTCGGGGTTTGGTGTCCCACCTGCTAGCATGAGAAGAGCTGCAGAAGACCAGCAGGGTGGTGGAAGACACAACTGGGGCCAAGGTTTCCGCCTGGGTGACCAGTGAAGAGCTCCTGCCTCTGAAAAAGACCAACTCTTTGATTTTAATTGGACATAGGACCGACCCTTCCTGGTGCAGAGCACGCTTAAGAACTGAGGTCTCTGTCGTACTGTTGGATTTAACTGATAAAGAGTGAGTTTTTCTGGTTCAAGAGAGAACTATAAACTCCAGAAGGGAAAAAACGTAGATCTTGCTCCAGGTTAGCCAATAGTGTCCAATTTGATTCTGTCATTAAAAAAAAGCCTTCTTTATACAGTATTGTCTGTCTATTGCAAAGGGGATCCATTATACTGTCTTGCTCCACGATGGGATGGGACAAGCTAGTGGTGTTCTGTCTCACCTGGTATGTTAAAAGCTTTCTTGACCATGGTAAGGTAAGAATTCAGTGTGAGGCAGATGGATCAAACTAACCCCAAAGCTTAGGAAGCTTTTTCCATATCTGTGCTTTTAAGTCCCAGGGTCTTTGGAAGCATTATTTAACTGATATCTCTCTGCTGCATTCATAAAGCAAAGTGCAAATGTTTCGTTTCCATTATTAAGCTGTGTTTTGAGGGGAGTTTTTTCTTGCCATGCAACCTTTGTCCTACCTGTTACATGGGATGGGCAAGACTAAGGATAAGAGGGCTTTCATTTGAAATGGCAATAACAAATATTCACAGAATTGAAATCTATGAACTCATCATGGCATGTTACAAGGCTTGCTCTGTTTAAACTGAAGTTGTCTGGCTTTTTTCTTTTTCCCCTGAGATCTGTGAATTCTTGGCTTCGAGGTTTCTGTTTTGAGTGCAAAATTGGGTAGCACAAATACAACTTAAACTAGCAAATGTAACATATCGTTGTGGTTAATGTAAAGGGTACTGACTGCAGCATTCTGTTTGTTAAATGAATCTTCAACTTTCTCTTAAAAGCTTTAAGGCATCAAAGAATCAAAGCTGGAAATAAACTTTTCCAGGGTCAAGATGCAATAGAGCAGATTGATTTACTACAGGACTCTTTCACTGTCAAATAAGAGATTATGTACACTCTTTATTAGTATCTGTACTTTTTATGGTAAAACTTTTTGACATGGAGAAGGGAATGACTCTGTACAGTAGATTTTCTTGTTCTGGGTTCCTGTGGGCAGAGCACAGGGCAGAGCTCCAGGAAGCTGTAATGCAAACTTGTTACTGTCTCACTGCATGGACTTGGGCAAACTTCTTGCTTATCTCAGCTTTCCCAGCTGTAAGGAGGACTCGTGCATGTCTCATAGCATTTTTTAAAGGTAGCTGTCCCCGACTCCCTGAGGTGGGAGCTGCTGGTGAGCGAGGTAAGAGTTAGGTTCACAGAAATGACAACACTTAAGCTAGGAATGCAATTACTTTAAGCTTAGCCAAGACTTCTAAGTTGGAATGTAGTTGCTCACTTTTTGTTTTATAGTTGTAGGAAGAAGAGCATTGTCCCTAGGATAAGATTCAAGTCTCTGCCTGAATTTCCCTTTACCATTTGTCTGTCTTTTTACTGGGTAGGTAGAGCACAGAAAGCTGTTCTGCCCCAGCTTAGGTATCTCAGGTATCTATGAGGAGGTGAAGTGAATCTGGGCCAAACCATTTTTATTACTGTTTTGTTGCTTCACTAAACCTGGGTTCTGAAAGTTTAAAAACTTGTAAATACTACATGATGTGAAACTGAGCAGAAAATAAGCGGTTGGACTGGAAGTTTTCAGCTGGCTGGCTTGAAAAAAAATGCATGCTCCATTTCTTCACTGCAACTCAATTTTGTTGATCTGGCTTGCGGAAAAATGTAGAAAATCAGCAATGATCATATTGCGTGCTTAGGTTTTACAGGAGCTTGCAGTTCAGAAATCACCTGCCATTTTTGCCTCTTCAGTGATAAGTTTTAAAGATGCTCTTGTCTCTTTCTTTGTATGAAATGATAGGTAGAGAGGAGGACTGCAGTGCTCTAAGTACTAATCTCATTGACTGATAGCTGTTACTTGTTGCTAACTTGAAAAGTCTGAGAACCATCATTTTTATAGGAGTCGTGATGCAGTTGGTCTTTGTAGTCATAGTAATATCACTGTCTACAAAGGATTTGGCTTCATTTTGAGTCAGGATCTAACTGTGAAGTGAAGATGCTATCTTTTGTGACTCAGCTAAAACCTTGGCACACTCAAATTGCAGAACATCTTTGTACAGGAGGCCAGAAGGGAGGCTTGGTGGGGAGGACGCGTGGCAAAAGTCATTGTCCTGGCCCAGTGCGTGGTGCTGGGTCTTGCTCTTGTACATCCTCCTTCTCTAAGAGGAAAAGGTTTGCAAGGAAAATAGATTTCTGATGAGTCTTGATTAGGTTTTGAGCTGCTTCAAGTCAGTTTACTTTGATTTATGGAAAATTCACTTCAGAATTCCATATTATGAACGCAGTTTGTTCATTTCTCACTTGTCACTTGACCTGAAGCAGTGTTTGTCCTCCAGCGTACACTGGCAATGGCAGTCTCTTGTTAAATGAGTACCTCCTTTCTTATTTTGTACAGATAATTCCCCTTTTTGTAATCAATTTTTGTTGGCAAAGTTTTAAATTAAAGTTTTAATCTCTGATACTGTCTCTGTTTTGCTAAATCATATTTCAGCTTAAGACAAGCCTCGTGATCTGCATGTCTGCGGGAAATGTCTGACAGCTGCACTGTGACTCCACCTCCTGCTCCTGCTAAAAGTACTCAAGAAAATTACCTGTTTCTGGGTGGGAGTCTTTGTCTTCTCTGATCGGTTGCAAAATCATAAAGGCATTTTCTTTGTCTCTGTTTATCACTGTGAGTTTTGACAATCTGTGTCCTTGCTGGGTTATTGTAATTTCACAGCTTTTTTTGGTATATTTCATGATTCATTCTTGTCCTCTGGGAGGAAGTATCCTTCTACTCACCCTCAGACTTTGTGGGATTGATAGAGATCAGTTACTCTCCCAGGAGTAAGCTTGATATTCTGCAGTACCCTCTCTGTCCAGCCAGATGTGCACAGCTGCTGGAATTCCTTTTGGAGACACATTGAGCATCCTCTGAATGACTTTCCTGGTCCTCATCACTCATCTGACTGCGCTTGTCCTGTTTGTTACCATAGAGGCGCTAAAGAAGATCCATGGACTTGGTACATAAAGCACTGTGTGAATTTGTTGAGCTTCTTGTGCTGGAAAGTCTTGGCCCATACTAAACACACCAGATAGAACAGCGTGGTGAGTGTGTGCCTTAAGATTTTGCTTCAACCGCATGAACAGTCAGCAGAACAGCCAGGAACATGAAATCAAACGCTTCTAAAATGCTTCCTCTTCCATTCCTATCACTTTGTCTTGGCAACAGCTCCTCTCTTGCCATGACTCAGTAATGCAGTGTTGCCAGTGGCTTAATGAGAAACTGGACCTGTTGCTTCGTTTTGTCATCTAATTGTCACATTAGAGAGACTGAGAGTTTTAATTTTAATTTCATTTTGAGAATAGCATATTGTTTGCAATGCAGCGTAAGATTCTTTATGTATCACTGTGTACCTTATTGGGGAGGAAGACTGCTTTGCTGTGATGGTTAAGGTAGTGAGCTGGAGTGATACACACTAGTTTACAGTCTGGAGCTTCTGATTACAAGTCACCGAATGTCTTTTTAATCCTGTTCTGCATTCATAAAATGAAGATGATTCATGCTCTCCCTTGTTCTGTGCTAGGCTTAGGAAGATGGATCAATTTGTCCTTGCCGTAGTATGGCAGAGCACTAGTCTTGGTGACGTTCTTAGCATTACCATCACCTGCAGTAGTAAATGGCTGTTCTTGTTTTGTGTGTCCCTAGATTCTTATTTTGCCATGGATGAAAGTAACAGCGTGACTCTTGAAATGCAGAATTGAGTCTATTGCCATGGCTTTATTAATTAAGTTAAATACGCAATATGTGCTTACTAAGAAGTATCACAGAATCTCAGGAGTTGGAAGGGACCTCGAAAGATCATCCAGTCCAACCCTCCTGCCAGAGCAGGATCACCTAGACCAGGTCACACAGGAACGTGTCCAGGTGGGTTTTGAATGTCTCCAGAGAATGAGACTCCACAACCTCTCTGGGCAGCCTGGTCCAGTGCTCTGTCACCCTCACAGTAAAAAAGTTTTTCCTCATGAGGTAAAAAAAGTACTTACATTTAAAATGTGATGATGTGCTGTTTTCCAGAACTGAAAAGATGAAAACACTTCAGCTGCTTGTATTTTTCGAGCACACTTTTTGGGGGATGAAAGGAGTTCTGTTCACAGCTGTGGCTCACCCTTCTATCATCTAGAACATGATCTAGGAGGAGTGATTACAACACTCGGGAACAAAAGTTGCATAAAAGGAGCTGTAGCCATGGGATGCTGGCAAGGCCTCTGCAGAATCTTCTTGATGAGGGGGAAGAAAAGTGATGATGAAACCTTAATTCTAGTGATTGGAGGTGCTTTGTTTTTTTGTTTTGGTTTTTTCCCCTCTAGAGGACAAAGCCCTTGCCAAATGCCATTGGAACTCAAATTGGCTGTGTTGTATTTCAAGCCCAGTGGGCAACTGAGCACCAGACAAAGGGCAGGGAGGGTTCACTCACCACCTATGGTCACAGGAAAAAGACAGGCTCATTTTGGGGAGAAAACCAAACAATTTAATTTGTTACCAGGAGCATCAGAATAGAACAGTGAGAGATACAACCAGATCATAAAGTCAACACCTTCCTGCACCCCTCCCTTCTTCCCAGGCTCAGCTTTGTTCCCTGTTCCTTTACATCCCCTCCAGAGCAGAAAAAAAGGGGGATGGGATTGGGGGTTGCAGACAGTTCATCCCATGCCGGTCTCTGCTGCTCCTTCTTTCAGGGGTAGGGAGGGCTCCTCCCCCTTTCCCTCTGCTTCCATGGGGCACCCTTCCCACAGATAGTCTTCCACAAAGTCTTTCTTGGGTCTGCCCATGGCTGCAGTTTTTTTCCTCATGAACTGCTCCAGTGTGGGCTTCCCTTCCACATGGTGCAGTCCTTCCCACAGACTGCTCCAGCACACACTGCCCAGAGTCACGGCCTCCGCAGGGACCACCTTCTCATGTGGCTCTGCCCCACTGCTAAACCTTTATAGGCTGCAGGTGGGTCGACCTGTGCTCTTGTCATGGGTTGCAGGGGGAACCTTGGCTCTGTGCACCTCATTCTCCTTTCTTCCTTCACTGACCTAGGTGTTTTTGCACAGTTGTTCTCCTCATGTCCTTGTCCTTTCTCTGCTGCGGATCCCGTCTGATGTTTCTTGAAAAGTTCCTGACTCTTTCTTTTGGGCTG